AGAGAAACATCGATCAGCTGCCTCCTGCACGTCCCCCAGTGGGGATGTGCCCGCAACCCAGGTACATGCCCCTGACTGGAATCGAACCTGGGACCCTTCAGTCCGCAGGCCGACGCTCTATCCACTGAGCCAAACCGGTTTCGGCATAAAACGATTTTTTGAAATGTATATCTAACTACAATGTTATTAGTAATGTTCTAAATGAATGCTATTATAAGCCAGTTTTACTTATAGGGCAGAATCCTAATTCTAGTGATCTTAAAACTTTATGTCAATAATTCCAGAAAGTTCTCAATAATAGGGAAAAGTTAGACACACAGGAAAACAAAGCCAAAGTACTTCCTGGGGTGCCCATGGGCCTCGATTGAGTGTTCTGTGATTGCACTGATACGTGCAAACTTACAAAATGTTCCAACTAAAACGACTGGGCCTATTCTCTCTGTTACTTGGAAGCCTCAATCATTCACCTTGCTGGTTGCTGGAATAGACTCATCTCTTTTCTAGGGCGATGGTTCTCACGTGTGGTCCCAAGACCAGCAGCATCAGCATCACCCAGAAACTTGTTAGAAATGCAAAATCTTGAGCATCACTCAAAACCTACAGAATCAGAAACTTTTTGGGTGGGGCCCAGCAATCTGCGGTTTAACAAGCCTCCAGGTTATCCTGATGCACTAGATCAGTGGTTCTAAACCTGTGGGTCGCGATCCTTTTGGGGGTCGAACGACCCTTTCACAGGGATCGCCTAAGACCATCGGAAAACACATATATAATTACATATTGTTTTTGTGATTAATCACTATGCTTTAATTATCTTCAATTTGTAACAATGAAAATACATCCTGCATATCAGATATTTACATTACGATTCATATCAGTAGCAAAATTACAGTTATGAAGTAGCAACGAAAATAATGTTATGGTTGGGGGTCACCACAGCATGAGGAACTGTATTAAGGGGTCGCGGCATTAGGAAGGTTGAGAACCACTGCACTAGAGTGTGACAAGCACTATTCTAGGGAAAATATGGTCCCCTGTAAAGCAAAACATTTTTTAAACAGAGATGGGTCTCCCTTCTACTCATGTACCTATCTTCATTAAAATTTTAAGACTTTCATTACAAAAAATATACTGAGCTTTATTCTGGTGATCTGTGTTTTAACTTTATTTTTCCTATCTTTATTTTCCAATTGTCAAGTTTTTTCATGTGGCATTTCATATTGCTATGCTAAATATCTCTCAGTGAGCTTCAGCACTTAAAAAATAGGGTACACGATAGGGAGAAGAGGAAGAAAAAACGGCAGCGGAATAGGCAGATGTGTAGTGCACCTCATCCGGGGCCAGACTGGAAATACAACTAAATCGGAGAAAATTCACCCGGAAGTAACAAATTAGGCCCAGCTCAGGAGGCAATTTTAAGGAAGGACAGAAAATGCCTGGAGACTGGTAGGAAGTGTGGTGAGGGCTTGAGAGGGGTGACAGGGAGGGGGGCACAGACTTGAGGTGCCTGAGGAAGGAAGCAGGGCTGGGAGATGTGGCCAGGAGTCCTGCACTGGGAAGTTCTTAGGCTTCCAAACCTAAATGGCCATTTCTCTCCAAAGGAGCTAGCCCCTCCCAGTAGCCTCAGGGCAGGAGATACAGCCTGCCACACCCTGCAATTTGAGCTTTACAGAGGAAACAAAGGCAGAGACCAAGCTTGTGTGTCAGAATAGTCTGACGGAGTCCTCAGTGACTGGATTGGAAGAGGGGCTGTTCTGCCCCACTATTCTGGAAACCAGACTGATAAAAACTCCAGATTGCCAGCCAACCCCATTGAATGCCATTCAAGGATGGCTGTCCAAACAAGGACAGAGTAATATTTTGGGCCACTCGTGGAGGAGTAGCTCTAGGTCACGAAAAAACATCCATCATATTCCCTGAAAGTGAAACAGCTCAACCTAAAGCCCTGTCAGAAACAGACAAAGAGGACAGATTGGTCCCGCCAGCGGTAAAGGTCTGGTTAGACAAGGCTTTTAGACTCTGAGAACAGACACTGTCCTTACCCAATATCCTAAAAGCAGAACAAAGCAAAGCAACCTCTATGCTAACATATTTTATTTTTGTAGCTGTGGAATTTGTAGACACGCTGTAAATTATAAAACAACCTCCCCCCTGACTCCCACCCCCAAAACAAAACAAAACAAAACAAACAAGACTGGTACTTACTCTGGTTTTTACACTTCGGTCAGTTCCAGCTTCCAACAAGAGTTTAATGCATTCTTTATTTCCATTTTTACAGGCCAGGTATAGAGGTGTCTGTCCTCCATCAGCAGCATGATTAATGTTAGCATCATATGCAATTAGTAATGCTACACACCTAAACACAAGATTAGGATTAATTACACAGAAACTCCGTTTGATTTTTGAAGTGCCACCTGAGATATGAAATACAGATAATAATGCTAAAGTCATTCTGCATCTATATGTATATAATATCTAAATATATGTCATAAATTATTGTAGGTCTTCTTATGTAGGATCCTGTTTTTTTTTTTTTTAACAAGGCTAGAAGATATGTTTTAATCACAAACTTAATTACTCCCCTGAAAATTTAAAACAGCAACCTTGGTCAAGTGCTGAAACTTGGTTTATGACACTTCGCTGTAACCAACTTGTAACAGTGGAGTCCTTGGAATAGTTTAACTTACTGGGATGAATGATTTAACTGTGCTTGACATATATATTATTTGTGGTTCAAAACAGTTTGAACCTTGAAAAAAAGTAAGGCTGCTGAGTCATTCTGAGACTTTTCACTTGAGAAAATAATTATAAATAGCGCAGACAGCAGGGCACCATGCGCCTCCACTATAAAAAGCAGCAGGGAGGCAGGGAAATGGTTGCCTGGGGGAAGAGGACAGCAGAGGGCTCCTGCCTCCTGAAGGGGTGCTAGTTTGCAACGAAGAGGACACAGCTAAGCAGAAACTCATTGCCCTGAAAATCAAGATGGAAAGAAATGAGGTAAATTCAAGACACGGTGGCTCTTACTAACTGGCTAAACCCCGAAAGCTTGAGTTTATAAAATTAGATGAAAATAAACTTAGAAGAGAGGACTAAATAAATCATAGTCAAATTAGGAAGCAAGTCACATCATCTTAACTTTTTTTATTTTTACTTCAGATGCATGTTTTCTCTTTTTTCTTTAAAATGAAGTTTATTGAGGTGACATTGGATCTGTAATACTTTCAACAATAACGATAAATTTTAAATAGTACAGGTTTCAAGTGTACAACTCAACAAAACATCATCTGCATACACCATGTGCTCGTTGCCCAAAGTCAAGTCTCTTTCTGTCCCCTTTGTCCCCCCTTAGCCCACTTCCACCTCCCACCTGCCTTTCCCTCTGGCTATCACTATACTGTTGTCCGTGTCTATGTGTTTTATATATATGGTGGGGTTTTTTTTTTGCTTAATCGCTTCACCTTCTCTCATCCTGCCTTCTGACAGCCATCTGTTCCATTTATGGCTTTCCTTGAAAACGTTTGGTTTGTTTATACATATTTGAAAAATAATTTACATACTGATATGTGTATCTCATACACATTTAAATTAATCAACCCCAGCGCTCTTCCTTTTTGTAAAGCTATCTATACCTCTATTCCCATGACTGTTCTATTATCCAAGTGAGCGGCCCTACAGATTACCTGGTGACAGTAAAGGTAAAGTACAGCCCAGAAGAAATCCCTCTTGGAGGACTCAAGACATACAGAAAATAATAGCAAGACTTATGGTCCTCAATAACTCAGGGTGATAATATGCAGAAAAAATGAAAACTGTATGCTTTAAGGATACATTTTGAAAAGTTTCCATTTATAATGGATAACATTCGTGTGAACCTTAAAACCTCTATTTCAAGAATTCAGAAATTTGTTAAAGATTTCTATCAGGATAGTTATGTAAAAAGTTGAAAATAGCTTATAATCTCTGCCACCTGCCCTTTCAGCACAGAGGAAAAAACTTAGTTATATTCTATTTTAGTAACATATGACTCAATTTTTAAAAAC